TCCACACCCATTCTTTTGTATACCTTAACCATCCCACAACACTATAAAATCAATAAAACCCAAAGTATACTCTCCATCAGTTTCATTTTCCCCTCCTTTAAATTCTTCTCTCTCTCGATGTAATTCCCAAGCTCATGCAAGGTGAAAACCCAGCAAAATGTTTTAAATTTTCGCTGTGATCCAAAATCATCAATAATGAGACCACAAAAATTAGCTGATAGCTAGTATTTTAATTTTATTATCTTGAATTCAGTATAATACAGATATAGTACATGATTATAAGTAACACAGAAAGTGCTACTATTTTGCATAGGTGCTGTGGAAAGCGATATGGTGCTGCCTCAGAAAACTGGGACTAGTAATGCCATATGACCGAGAATTCTTTCTACTTGGTATCTGTGCAAACAGCAAATGCACACACATATTCCTCTCAACACTATTCACAGGGACAAGAAGATGGACACAACTTAAATACCCAATGGTGGAAGAATCATTAAATAAACGTTGGTACATACACACACTAGGCAACTCTGAAGAAAGCAATAAATCTGTAAAACACCTCATAGCATGGATGAACCTGGAAGACATTCTGCTGAGTGAAATGAGGCAGTCACAACAGAGAAAACGTTCTCTGAGATAATTGTTATTTAAAAAAAAAAGTTTTCCCAGTGAAAGGTGGTTCCCAGGGAGGGAAGGGCAAGGCGCAGGCTCGGGGACAGGTGAGTGTTATTTGAGTGACGGGGAAACGATATCCAGTAAGATGGAGAGAGGGGCTCTGGAAATGACGGGAAAAGGAAAGACAATTTGGAGCTTGATGAGTTGTTGAATCTAAAATTGATGACCTACTCTGTAATCCTTCCTTTAATTCATAATAAAAGGTAAAAGGAGAGGAGGGAAGGAAAGAAAGACAGAAAGAATTTGATGTTTACTTGGAGGAGTAGAGGGAAAGTCACAGGCTAGCGGGCAGACAGGTATTAACTTGAGTGACGTGAGCCATCATTTACAACCAGAAGATGATATACAAAAAATTATGAAAGTGGGATAAGCTATCAGGAAGTTTGATAGCATTTTTAGTATAAAATGATGATCTGCTCTGTAAACATTCACTTAATTCACAATCAATCAAATAATTTGTACAGCTCTCTAAACAAAAGCTTATCAGTACTATGCGTGTGCTACAGACGAGGAAACTGAGACTGGGAGAGGTTAAGTAACACACGAGTTTACTCATAGAGAAAGCTGGAATTTACACCCAGACAATGCATTTCTCTGACAGAGAGCAGACAAAAACCTCAACTCCATTGCCTTTCTCCCATGTCTGTGGGTTAAACAAGAAAACATGGAAGTCCCTTACCTCATAGGTAGCACATAGTAGGCAATTATTAAATAGTCACTTGATCCTATATGAGCACATCCTAATCATTTGGATGCTGAAATTCAGCATTCTCATTAATATCTCTTAGTGACTTGTGAAGTCTAACTTTACTCCCCCCGGAATTAACTGCCGCTAGCTAGTTGAGCTGATGGCATGGAGCCGAGGATCACAAGGACATGGATCCTATAAAATTCCGGTGGAACAACACCAGTGCTGCAGCTTCCAATCCCGGATGCTTGCTTTCTCGACAGATTCTCCTTCCTTCCTTTCTTGAAAGTACAATCATACAGCTTAAACTAGCAACACCAAACTTGCACCTAGAAAGTGCACTGCAAAGAAAGCAGGATGCTTCTGAAACAGTGGTTTTCTGAATAAGCTTGTGGTCAACGTTTCCAGGTAAGCAGCACACCCTGGAAAAGTGGTCAGTGGAAGATTTTAATACCATCCACTACTCAGTACCGTCTGATCACACTTATACTATATCGTCACTAGATGGGAAGCCACTTACAAAAAAGTCTTACTACGAAGTTTTATGCTTGTACATATGAGAAATATCGCAATAGCGTAGGCATAAAGATGTGATTTGTGCAGAATTCTAAAGTGGTTTCTCTCAACAGGAAAATCACCAAATATATCTACTGTGGATTGTTTGTTAGCAAAGACCGTGGCCAAGACCCAAGGGAATTTGGTGGGCTCTCACCTTCCTTGCAAAAAGTCAAGGTAAATATGACTGATGTGCCCAACTTCAGGTGAATTATGATTTCTGCTGGAATGTAATACTCTTGATATTGAAACTACAAGACTGGCAATTCAGTTGCCTTTGGAGGTACTGAGATAATTTTTAAAAACCCAGGGTGAGTTGTATATACTTTACATTATCTTTCTTTTCTTATTTGTTTTCCGTATGTCTCTGAAATTTGTGCCATAGACACTTCTCGGGTGTCTATCGCATTATATCCTTATATAAAGTAACAGTACATTTCCATTGCAGTTGAACATACCTCTATGTATCCAAATATTTTTGTCACTCCATCAAAATGAAAATAATAATAAGAGAAAATGTTTATTTTTAAATATATATTCCGTGATGAGGGAAAGAAGCCCTGGTGGCACAGTGGTTAGGCACTCAGCCGCTAATCGAATGGTCAAGCCTACCATCCACTCCAGAGAAGAAAGATGCGACATCAACTGCTGTGAAGACTTTCAGCCCTGCAAACCCTGTGACGCGATGCTGCTCTGCCCTGCGGAGTCTCTAGGCAGCAGAATCGACTTGACCACAACGGGCTTGGTTTGGGATTTGGGTATAACAAACAGACATGACTATTTCAGACCTGGTTCTGATCCAGCAAACCCTTTTGCCTGTGGAGGTAAGATGTCCCCTATTGAATTTAAAATGAATGGCCGGCTCCATTCTTGATTAATTCTTCAGCTTTCTGTGTTGCTACCTCCTACCATTCTTTTAGAACTCAGCAAATGACAAAAGAAACATGTAAATTATACTTTGTATATAAGTTGAGCAACATCTTCCAACAAATCTTTTAACAATATTTTCAATAGTAAACGTAATCTCTAAAGAACAAAGATATTGCTCTAAATATTAATCCAGACTCAAATCTCAGTTTGTTTAATTGAAATGTTAACTGAAAATATTGCTCATAAAACTTCACAGCCATATTGTCAGCTATCTGGAAGCTTCAAGAAAAGTTTCTATCTTCTGAAAACTAGGCTATGAAAATTACACTTTCAAGACATCAGGATCTCAAGCTGTTTGAGCTGATACAGACAATAGGACAACTTAAAAGTTGTGTTCAAGGTTCAAATTGTGTGACTTTGAACAAATTATTTATTTGGGGTGAGGAGAGACATCAATTTCTTCACCCATAAATATCTATAACCTACGTCTAAGTACAACTACCTTATTACCTTAAAGAATAAATTGGAATGGCACTTATTTTCTCTCTCCTCCTCCTCCTCTACTTCCTCTTCCTCTTCTTTTCTCTCTCCTCTCTCTCCTTCCCATTCTCTTTCTCTCTACTCTAGCTCTTGCTCTCTCTTTCTCTCCCCCCGCCGCTCTCACTATTCGAGGTTGGTTTATAGCCCTTAGTGAATCAAGATTCTCTATTCTATTATTTCAAAAATGTGTGCTTAATACCTTCTATCTAGCATGACTTAAGATGCTGAATGGAGAATTTTAAAAGAAGCCTGAGGTGTTTGACAATAAATTCTAGATAGAGAAAAAGGTTATAAATATCCAAGAAGTTAAAGTGGCCATAAGATCAGGTTTATGGCTTCTATTGTACTTTAGTTCATGGTATATTGCAAGTGGCCCTCCAAGGTACAAACAGTGATGTCTGTTTACCTGGAACAACACAGAAAGAAGAGTCAGGAACTGAGGACCAAAATGACATGTGTGGCCAATTGCCTCCATAAACCACTGCCTTCTTTGCCAAGTGACTACACGAACTGTGCGGTGATTGCTATCAGTCCTTCACATGAAGATTCTACAGAAGAACTCTGATCAAGGGGTAGAAATGGACAGAATTTCAAATTATCGTGGAATCCAGATTTTCTAGAGCCATGGAGAATGGAACTATTGTTCCAAGATAACCTTTAAACCTTACATCTTAAACCAAAAATAACTTTTCACATCTTAAACGTCTCAAGCAACAAGTTAGCTTAATTAAGAATGTCCGCTGTGAGCATTGTGCTCTTTTAAAAACTACTATATGGAATCAAAAAGAGCCTGGTGTTAAGTGCTGAGATGCACACCAAGAGGTCAATGATTTCAACCCACCAGCTACTCCATAGGAAAAAGATGAACAATCTAGTCCCATAAAGATCACCCATCTCCATCTAGTCTGTCCTCTGATATTAAAAACAAAACAAAACCCAACCTAACCCAATGCCATCAAATCTATTTCAGTTTATAGCAACCCTGTCTATAGTTCACTGCCATCCATTGATTCTGACTCAAGCGACCGTATAGGACAGGATAGACTGCCCCTGTGGGTCTCCGAGACTGTAATTCTTAACAGGCATAGAAGGCCTCATCTAGCCACTACACCTACACTTCCAGGGCTCCTCCTCTCTATGTGGGGTCTAGTAAAGACTGTATATCTTTCCAGGAGCAGCTAACTCATCTTTCTCTTCAGCGTGATTGGTGGCTTTGACCCGCAGCTTCACCCAGCCTTGGGAGCCCTGTGGGATAGTTCTACGCTGTCTGATAAGGTCATTATTCGTTTGAAGATCAACTCGCTGGCCTGAGTTTGGAGAGCATATTTACAACAGCAATAAGATAGGAAACTTGACAACTGTTTCCTAAGATAGGAAACTTGACAATTGTTTCCTAAGATAGGAAACTTAGGAGGCAGTGAGCTTAGATTGATAGAGAGGAACGGTTTCAAAAAGGATGAGAATCGTTCCACAACAGAAGAGTGTAATCAATGTCACTGAATTGCACTTACAGAAATTGTCAAATCCGTATATGTTCTGCTTTGTATATTCTTAACAACAAGAGATAAAAATAAATTTTAAAAGAAATTAAGATATAGATAATTACTGATAGAGATGTGAAGTATCCAGTGTTTTGTCGTTTTCTTGTCATTCTTGACAGGTTAGTCCAACAAAGAAGATGGACGAGGCTCTCCTACTCAATCACACTTCCTCAGTGACGCATTTTCACCTTAGAGGTTTATCTGTGGATCAGAAGGTGCAGGTGTCTGTATTTGCCATATTCCTCCTTTTCTACATCCTGACACTGATTGGGAATATCCTCATTGTCATAACTATCATCTACGACCACCGGCTCCACACCCCCATGTATTTCTTTCTCAGCAACCTCTCCTTGATCGATGTCTGTCATTCCACTGTCACTGTCCCCAAGATGCTGGTGGACACCTGGTCAGAGGAGAAACTCATCTCCTTCGGTGGCTGTGTGACCCAGATGTTCTTCCTGCACCTCTTTGCCTGCACAGAGATCTTTCTTCTCACCGTCATGGCCTATGACCGGTATGTGGCCATTTGCAAACCCCTGCAGTACATGACAGTGATGAACTGGAAGGTATGTGTCCTGTTGGCTGTGGCCCTTTGGTCAGGGGGGACCATCCACTCCATAGCCTTGACTTCCCTCACCATCAAGCTTCCCTACTGTGGTCCCGATGAGATTGACAATTTCTTCTGCGATGTCCCGCAGGTGATCAAATTGGCCTGCACCGATACCCATATCATTGAGATTCTCATCGTCTCCAACAGCGGGCTGATCTCCGTGGTCTGTTTTGTGGTGCTTGTGGTGTCTTATGCCGTCATCCTGGTGAGCCTAAGACAGCAGCTATCCGGGGGCAGGCGGAAGGCCCTCTCCACCTGTGCAGCCCACCTCACAGTCGTCACCTTGTTCCTGGGACATTGCATCTTCATCTATTCCCGCCCCGCCACCAGCCTCCCCGAGGACAAGGTCGTGTCAGTGTTCTTCACGGCGGTCACCCCCCTACTGAACCCCATCATCTACACCCTTCGGAATGAAGACATGAAAAACGCTTTAAACAAACTTATGGGAAAGAAGGAAAAAAAAGAAGAAAAATGAAAATAGTCCAGCGCTCCGGGTGCTGGGTGTTCCAAGTCAAACGTCGGGCACAGACTAAGTTACATCGCGTATTGACCCAACTAAATGGCTCAGAAATTATTTTGAGGCCCAATATCTAAGAATCCTAACAAGCGCTAAGATTTTTTTTTTAATTGGGGGCTCATACAACTCATCACAATCCATACATACATCAATTGTATAAAGCACACCTGTACATTTGTTACCCTCATTATTC